TGCCCATATCACTGCTGTGACTCTGGGTGGTTTACAGAGTTAAAAAAAAATACAAAGACAACCACAAAATCCTGAAAAAAAATCATTAAAAACATTAAAAACAATAAAACTATTAACCATAAAAACATAAAACATATAAAATAAATATTATCAATAATCTGTGTTAAACTATATTTACAGGGATATCAACATTAGATCTATATCACTGTTCAATTTTAACATTCAAGGCAGGTAACCTTAAGTAAAATGTTAGTTGCAAAAATAAAAACTAAATTAATAATAACATAAAATCAATGTAAACACTAATTTTTAAAAACACATCTTGGTAACAGCAGCCAGAGGTGTCTATAGGGTGGCAAGTAGGTCAAATGTTGATATGTGCATCATGATATCATCACACCAATGATGTGATTTATGTACTTGCATCAGATGTCATGTCACATGTACTAAGCTGTGTCATTTGTATTATGATGTCATGATATGTTGTCATTTTGAGGTCCTCGTGGCTTGTCACTGATTTTCTTGAGTGTGATCCTTTGCTTTCTCCTTAAGTTGGAACTTCCTGTTAATAAACAGATATGTCCAAAGTATAGGACCATGAAACCTGGGTTAAAATCTACTCCTAGACATGTTAAATCAGGGTGGTCTCAGTTTTCCATCTACAAATTGGGGATAACATGACAAGTGCTGTGTGAAAAGAAAAAAGAAAAGAAAAGCCTTGGAAAATATAGTTAACGTGAAGCAAAAATGAATTGTCAGATGGATTTGACCAAAACCAACTTTGCATAAAACAACAAACAAGTCATAAAGTTCTGAGCAATTTCTTGGGAGCAAGAGGGGTTTGAATATAAGGGATCTAAAGGCTACAGCAGAACATCGAATGGCAATGAAAGATGAACATAATGAGTGGGTTGACTGAAGTAGGAAGAATGACTGACAGGCAACACAACATATTCTTATGAATAAGGGATATGATACAAGCAAGTGTCATAGTGAAAAGCAGCAGTGGAGAAAGCCATGAAAAAACACCTAGGAATTAAAAATCAACCATGGGTTATAAAGTAGGCTGCTAAGGCTACAGGTATGCTACATCATCCCATACACAGACTGGAGTTTGTTTATCTGATAAAAAAATTTAGGAGCCTGTGAATCTTAGTTTACATATATGACAAAGTTTCTAGCCCTTAAGACTGCAGAGCAAACCTTAGAAGTGCTGAGGGTCAATACAGCGTGTAAGTCTGGGATCTTAAAAAAAAGCAGATTCAGGTCTCCATAAAATGATTACATTTTATGGATCATTTTCAGGCAGTTACTGTCTCTCAGCCTAATCTTGTGATGAGAGAAAATTGGGGTGTGAGGAAGAATTGTATCTGTCATCTTGAGTTTCTTAGAGGAGAGTTGAAATAGAAATGTGATTTTTTCCCCCCTATTCTGTTTTTAAAAGGATGTTTTAGAGTATCCAGAATTCTGTTAGATGACTTGATTGCCCATCCCTAGCCTTTGAAATAGGATAGGCTGTATAATCACGTGGCATTGCTTAAAAAACAATCACGTACTCATTCACTTACCGTTCTTGTCAGCTCTTCGAAAAATCTGAAAAGAAAAACATGTTTTCAAAACAAGCTTTATGGGTAATCCTTCTTTTGTGTATGTATATCACTTTCTGCATGTGTATGAATCAAACCCCACCCAAATAAAAGATACAATAACATCTGAAGAGTAAACCCATTCAATCAATGTACACAGCCCATATAAAGTCAGGGGTATCTCTAGGAGGCCATGTGTCCTATTTAAAGAGGAGACCTCCCTATTTAAACCTGCTCTCTAGCTTAAGGACTGTCTAGTCCAAGCCCAGTTTAGAAGTAAGGCCTTGAAGTTGCTCATCAATGCTTAGCACATCATTGAACATCTCATCACAGTCTTTCCTGTTCCTTTGGTCAGTTTGGTCACCTAAATACCTCCAAATTAGGTATCCCCTATTTTTTTTTTTTTACTGTAGCAAATTAAGGAAGTGTTCCTGGAAGAGACAGACTGCCCTTTGTACTGTATTTATTTGTGCACACAACTGCACAATGCACATAGCCTCTGGAATTTAACTTCAACACTCCATATAGACAGATGGGTGGATCTTCATGGATGGAAGTACTTTATCATACATCAAAATCTGCAAATAAAAATGTGTGAATGTGTCCTAATGCCGAATCTGTGTAAGCACAAATATAGGAATTCATTGCACTTTGGTGCCACAACACCATATGGAAGAATTAATTTCAAGGGAAGTGGATAATTCTGAATCTGATACCTCCATAAAAACAAATGGAGCAGTATTTGTTGGCTCACAATTCTGGATGTGGATCAAAGGTCTCATATTTTTATTAAATTTCATTTAATATGTATCGCTTTTACATTTGCACTGAAAATCCCAAAGCAGTCTAAAATGAACATGTAAATGAAGACAAATAAATAGGAATTTTAAAAATCAGAATGATAGCATATTACTACTACTGTACAGTCATTAAGAGTAACTGGTAGTCAAAGACATTGCTGAACATACAAACATGCCTTTGTCATCTCCTGTTTGAATTACTGCAATTCATTCTACATAGGGCAGCCTTCATACCATTTGGAAGCTTGATGGTCCAGAATGCAGCAGCTTGACTGGTAACAGATTCAACTGGGTTTGCCCATGTGACACCAATACTTTGATAATTGCATTAGCTACCAAGTGATGTCTAGGTGCAAATCAAGGTGGCGATTGCCACCTTGATAGTTTTTCATGGCTTAGGAACTGGGTAACTCCAAGACCATCTTCTCCAAGTAGAACCTGCTTGTCTGGTTAGATCTAGCAGGAAAAGCTTGTTATGGGTCCTGAACTCTTTGGAAAGCTGCTATCAGGCACCCCAAGGGTGAGCCTTTTTTGGGACAGCCCCCTCCTTTGGGATTGCATATACCCAGAGCCCTTTTTTGTTTGTGTTTCAGATGGTGATTAAGATCTTGCAGTTCTGGAGGGCCTTTCAAGATGGTGGGGATTATTGAATCACTCCTGAAAAGGTGGTACCAGGTGATTGTGTTTATGATAAGGAATCTCTCTCTCCCCCCCCCCCCATCATGTTATGTTTTAGAATATTATATTTTAATCCTTTTATTGCAATGTGGAGTATAAGGCGCTCAGAATCAGTTTCACCTGGAGTGGCATATAAATCCTAGTAAATAAACAAATGAGTTGTTGGAGGAAATGCACCGCATTTGGAACCTATCTGATCTCAGTGGATAGATCATTCTACAAATTAGGAGCTGTAGCAGTGAATTCCAAACTATACTGTAGAACAGTTGCAGATTCACAACATCAACCTGTGGTTTGTATACTATATTAGATCAGGATTTCCTATGCTGCATTGTTTAGTTTTGTGTTGATCTTCCTCACGGCCAAGTTAAATGTGCTATTCACAAGTCTTGAAGCTGGCAAAACCTATTCTGGTATAAAATGTGCTGCTTTCTACTGGCAATCTCTTTCATGCTAAGACATAATAACAGTAAATGGTACTGTCCTTATTTATCCACATTAAGGTGGATTCCCCTGACTTTGTTTCCCTCCCATCCCACTAAATGTTAGCAGCTTGTAGAAAATATCCACCAATCACTTTCCTTACCATGGGATTGGGCTGGGCTGGGCTGGAGGTGAGTTTTGTCATATAGCTAGGCTGATAGGTTATCCATCTATCCAAACTCACTCTAGTTTTTACACAAGTGCTTTATTGACAAGTTACTTTGGGACACTGATTTAGCACTGTTCGAGAAGAGTGCTGAACCAGCCTGAATAACACCTGACAGGTATAAGGAGAGCTGCACCATGAAGCAGCAGAGAGAGAGTGGCTATCTCTCTTCTGCCATCTTGCAGCCCCCAGAGTTCCACCAGTGTTCAGCTGTGGTTTAGGTTGTTCCTGGTCTCTAAACTTGATATCAACTTGTACTGGAAGAGAACCCTGGAAGATAATGCCCAAGAACTAGAGGCAAAAGTATATGCCTACGCCAGACATAGTGACAGTGTCCAATAAGTGCTGGGCTGATCCCATCCCCTGAGATCATCTGACTATAACCCCAGCCAAATACTTTGTGAAATATGTCAGATTACACCAGGAAGACTCCTGCTGCCTGCTGTTTTCTAAAAGGAGAAAGCACTACTTTAACACCAGAATAGCTAAGGACAACTTTAAGCTGCCTCAGGTATTCATTGCAAATGAAAGGAAGGCCATATCATGAGAACATGGCAGAAGAAAGAGATTGTCCAGGCCATGGTTGGACAAGTGGCAAAAGTTATGTTTTTACGGAGTAGTCTCTTATGGCACAATTCATTCTACAAAAGATGCCCAGAAAGAGTTGGAAGGAATTTTCATTGGCTAACTCAGGCAATTGTTTCTAAACTTTAACCCACAAGGCCCCCATGAGGATTTGTCTATATTTCAGCAACATGCAAAACATTCAGGAACATCCTTTCACTGTTTTACACATTCTAGGTAAGGGTATATATGGAAGCCTCTCAAAGCAAAAAACATCACCAAGTGCATCTTCACTGCATCATTGCATTATTTCCATGACTTTAAATTCTCAGCAGCTTTAAATAAAGAAGATTTAGTTTCAATGTACCATAATAAAAGTTGACCTGCACTAACAGCTGTATTTTGTTACCAAATGGGAAAAAAAAATCCCTGAATCTTACAGTAGAAATGGAATTTCACTCCTACATAAATTCCTTGACTACAATGAAATCAGGAAGACCATCTTACCCCATTTTAAAGATCAGCAATTCTATGGTGGCATAGTTTTGCAGAGGCATCTGCAAGAGTGTGTCAAAAAAGTCAAGATGGCAGCTTCAATCATGTGTCCACCATCATGACTTTTTCTGACACCCCCCTGTGGAAATGCCTACAGTTTTCTTTCCCAGATGAAAAAAGAGGCAGGCTTCTAAAACCCAACAAATCATAGTAAATGTTCAATGTTAAAGCCTCTAGCAACATTGCTGAAGGCTTACTCCATTTGTTATATTGGTTTTTCTGCAATTACCTGTTCTCTCTTACCAAAAATGAAATTCTTTTGACTAAAGGTACTACACACTTGAAATATATACTGGCAATGCAATTAGTTACAGAGTTAATCTCACCAGCGTGCAAAATGACCAACTACAGTATATACTATGTGGCACCTTAGTGTTCATGAATGTGTGCCTCAATGCATGGATGTTAGCAATGCTTCATCTCAGTAGAGAATTGTCTTCTGAAGATAAGGGAAGCTGAATGCTGATAACAACTCAGGCACAACATACCTACTTGCATACATAGCCATCATACATACCGTTTCTGCATAAACACCGGCATGTAAAGTGCAGACAAGGAATAAGAATAGTAAGACAAAGACAAATGCATGATATAAGAAAAGGCAAGGAAATATTGGTAAGTCTATTCATACTAATCCTATTCATGATGCCTTTCCATACTTTTCTTTCCTTGCAAACCATCCTTGTGAACATCCATGTACCACTTCTCACTTCTTTCTTTTGGAGGATATTTCAGCTCTCTTGTTTAGCCTTCTTCATCCACTTCCAAACAATGTTTTGTTTCATTCAAAAATCACTTTGCATTTTCTTTGCCTCTTTTAACCGTTCCTTGCTCTCTTTGATTACATTCTTTGTAACAATCTTTTTCTCTGCATAAGCACCACACAATGCCTTTCTCTCTTTCTCACTTTTAGAGCAATCATTTTCTTACATGCATTTACTCATTCAGAGCCTTTTTCATTTCAGTGTTCTACAAAAATCAGATTTCATACTTCCCATGAGTGCAGCTCTGCACACTTCTGTGGCACCTTGCAACATAATTCTTTTCAGTCTGGTTCAAGCAGTTTCCCTAACCTCTTTCCATACATCCACTTTTCATTCATTCTGTTGAGCGATTAATTTATTTTATACGCTTTTCCATATAAAACTCCTATTTTCTGTTCCTGCAGTTGTTATACCTTACCCCAATTTCTTTCACTTTTTTTCCTTTTCTTCTAGGTCCATTGCTGCAAAATCCACTCTTGCTACTACCCAAATATAATTTGCCCACATTTAAAGCCCCTTGTATCCTGCACTTACAATCTCAGTCTTCTGCATAACAATCAAATCAATCATGCTTTTAGATTTATATTTATTCCTTTAATGTATGTACATGTGAATAGATTAATACTTAAACCATATACAGGTTAAGTCCCCAGTTTAAGAATGAGTTCTGTTCCCAAGGTCTGTCCTTAAGTCAAATTTGTATG